TGACTTTAGAAATACCTCAGTGCATTTAAATCTAGCCACGTAGACTCTGCAAAACTGCTCTGTGGTGGGGATTGATGCTGGTGGCTACTTGGAGTCACGGTATATTTGCATAAGCATACAACTGCTATTACCAATTTAATAATGTTACCTATTTAATAATCCCTTTAAAATTTGGACTATAGGGGTGCCTGGGTGGCTCAGTCGGTTAATTTCTGCCTTCAGCTCATGTCGTGATCCCAGGGTCCTGGGATTGAACCCTGTGTTGGGCTCCCTGCTCAGTGGGGAGCCTGCCTCTCCTGTTCCCTCTGCCCTCCCCCTGCTCCTGCTCTCTCTCTCTCTCTTTCTCTCACAAATAAATAAATAAAGGCTTGAAAAAAAAAATAAAACCTAGACTATAAATCAGAAGTGGCTACCAGTGATAAAGATTTAATGGAAGCAAATCTACCATTTTGTATGTGGTTTTTAGGCCATTTTTCTGACCAAAGCAACTGGATCTTTTCCCACATTGGACTCACCATACAAAATTGTTGCAGAAAAGTCAGAGGATTTGCAGGAGTGCCCCCCCCCGCTCCCCCACCCATGGGTAGCTCAGTTTTAAATTCATGATTTAACTGTATAGTTAAACTGGTCCATTCATTGAATCTTTCAACCACTGATTCATGAGCTAGGCTCTAGGCATTGTAGGAAGTTCTGATTTTTAACTCTCTCCTGACAGTAATAATCTTATTCAAACAAATTCAAGAGCCCATTTTCATATTGAAATTAAAGGCATAACTTATATACTGTATGTCTCTAACTTAGGCTTTTTATAGATTTAGGACTTTGTGCACCCCAAGAGATAACAGCAACTACCTAGTTTATCATTCGTATTCCTCTTGCTTCACTACAGCTTTTAAAAATTTCCCTTTAGCTATCCATTTCCATCCCTTATAGGTATAGTCATACCATTTTCTGTTGTCTTTGCTCCTAAATCTTTATTCATAAACATTTCTTTGTGCTTCCATATAGCCATCATCTTTTTTTTTTAAGATTTTATTTATTTGAGAGAGAGCACGAGAGAGAGAGAGAGAGAGAGAGAGAGAGAGAGAGAGAGAGAGAGAGATCACTAGCAAGGGGGGAGGGTAGAGGGAGGAGCAGACTCCTGGCTGAGCAGGGAGCCTGATGTGGGGCTCGATCCCAGGACCCTGGGATCATGACCTGAGCTGAAGGCAGACGCTCAACCGACTGAGCCACCCAGGTGCCCTAGCTATCATCTTTAAATGCTGCACAGTATTCTAGTAAGTTGATGTACCTCTTAAATGTTGGACATAAAGGTTATTTACAATTTTACACTTTTTGGAGAATGTTACAAATGACTGCTTTAAGTAGTTTTTTCAGACTTGTCTTGGATTAGTTTTTTTAGAATAGATTCTTAAGGATGGGAGCAATGATTCATTCATTTGTGACATTTTTATTAAAGCACCTAGTGTGTTCCCAGCTGGTTCAAAAGCTTGGCCATTTCCATGACACTTGACAGTCTTTCCAAATTTGCTAGAGAACTACTTAACCCATTGAGTCAGCTCTTCATTGTCTAGCCCAGTAGATCTGTGCTTCCTCATTACTCATCTGGATGAATATTTAGAATTAAGCTAAATAAAGCATTATAAGGAAGGTACCTCTGAAGAAATGGCAGTGTGTGGCTGAGTGAGAAGTGCATGCCTTTAGAACTACTTGCTGTGTGGATAATTTACACAACTTGACATTCTTTTGATGTGATAATTGAGAGATGAAGCTTTGACCAAATCAGAGGTTTAGATCACTGTACAGACTTAAACATCTTAAGTTAAATAACTTCGATTAATTTAAATCACTCAGAAAACTTCAACTTGAAATTTTTAAAAAGCAAAACCAAAATACATAGTTTTGTAAATGTGTCCAAATTTTTATCTTGTGAACATTTATTGGATGCCTTGTACATGCTAGGAAAACAGATGTAAATGTGACATTGCATATTCTTAATTAGTAGGGAGAGACAGGCAAATATGTAAACAAATACTTGCTGCAGCACACCGTGAGCTCTGTAAGAGGGTTTACACGACCAGGAGTATCAGGGAGCAGAACTTTCCATGTCCTTTTATCCAGATTTCTTACTATACAGGACTCTCCCCCCCCCCCCCCCCCCGCTTTTTTGACTTTCATGGTTTACTTTTACATCTTGGGAGAGGAAAGAACATTGTTACAGAGTATGATAAATACAAATGATTTAGTTGGAATGAAAACTCACTTTTGAAATATATGTATAGTTTCAAAAGCAAGTAAAGGACTTTTGCCTTTTTGATTACAGTGTGGCTGGCTGGTTGAAGACAAGTCATGGGTTGATGGTTTTCTGAAAAGTCACTAGTTTCTTTGTAAACGGAATTTCTGATAATCATTGGAAGGGACAAAAATAACATAATAGACCTGTGCATGCTGTCATTAGTCATGGCAAAAGTATTCTAATATAACAATTTTTTTTCCCCAGTCATCTGAGCTAAAGTAGAGCAAAAGAAGTAGTCTACCTACTTTTCTGGAACACTGTGGTAGAGCCTGACAGACAGCATGGGTTCAGTTGTAACTGCTGGTTACTAAGTGTAACCTCAGATCTTAACAACACCCGTGCTTCCATTTCCTCAATGGTAAATTGGAGATCATGATAGTATCCACTTCATAGGGCTGTAGAATCCAATAGATACTGCTCTGTGCGCATCTTAGTCAACCTCAGAGTAGCATTTATTGCTGTTGACCTCTTTGTCCTTCTTAATATACTCTTCCCTCTTAGCTCCTGAGACCCCAAACTCTAGTTCTTTTCTTCTCCTACCTTCTACTCCTTTTCATTTGTGTGGTTTGTTCTTTTTCTGTCTGATTTCTAAATGTTGGATGCCTTTGGGTCCTTTCCTTTCTTCCTTTTTACTCCTTTCCAAGGTGATCCATTAGTCTCATGGCTTTAAAATCATCTATATGCTACGGAGTCCTTAAATGTCTCTAGTCCTGACCTGTCCAGCTCTCGGGTCCAGATTCATATGTCTGATTACCTCCTGGATATTGCTTCTTTTTTTTTTTTTTTTTAAGATTTTATTTATTTATTTGAGAGAGAGAATGAGATAGAGAGAGAACATGAGAGGGGGGAGGGTCCGAGGGAGAAGCAGGGAGTCCGATGCGGGACTCCATCCCGGGACTCCAGGATCATGACCTGAGCCGAAGGCAGTCGTTTAACCAACTGAGCCACTCAGGCGCCCTGGATATTGCTTCTTTAACACATTCCAGCCTCTGGATCTCCCCCCCAAACAAGTAAACAAAGAAAGCTTTCCCTTTCCCAGCCATCTCCGAGGGTAAATGGCCTTACATTTGTGACTCATCCTTGATTCTTTCCTTTTCTTTACCCCATGTGTATCCAGGCCAGCAGCAGATAATACTTCCAGAGTAGATTTTGAATCAATCTGCTTCTGTCTCCTCTGCCACTATCCCGGTCCAAGTCATCATCATTGCTTGCCACCTCCATAGGCTTCTAACTTGTCCTCTCCCTGTCTGTTCAATACAGAGAGCCCCAGAATGATTTTTTTTTTTAAAGCAAAAATAAAATCCTGTCACATTTCTGTTTAAGATCAACTAATGGCTTCCTGTGACACATAAAATAAAATCGAATCTCTCCTTTTCATAGCTTACACAACTGGGCTCAGTTTCCATAGTGAGAATATTAGGGTACTCGTGAATTTAACTAAAATATAAGCTCCTGGAGGGCACAGACTTCTTTCTGCTTTGTTCATTGTTATTTTCCCAGTGCCTGGAATAGTGTGTGAATATAATGAGCATTTAATAAATGTGTGTAAAATGAATAAACACATACAGATTATATGATACCCCCAAAGCCTTTCTTCTTTCCTCTTTCAGAATAGCGTATTATACTTTGTATTTTCTGCATTATGTAGAAAGTCCAGCAAAGGCTTCTGGTTCAGTCTCCTTTCTTTTCCCTTCTTGCCTTCTATAATTTACCCCCTGCTCCCCCCTCCCCCCCATTTTATTCTTCATATCTGAGGACATATTTGGGTCACTGGGAGGGGATAGATGACTACATAGGATGAGAAACAGAATAGAAGTTGAGAAGGAACCCTGAGAATAGTAGCAACCACATTTTTAAAAATAAGCATTTTCTGCAGAAATCTTGGAATATATGCAAAAATATTAGAATAGAATAATGAATCCTCAATCTCTTCATTGCCCAGTTTCAACGGTTAAATCAACTCCTGGCCATCCTTTGAGCAACCAGCATTTAATCTGGAAATTGCCTATGGTAAAGAAATACCTAATTAGTTTGTAGAGATTTGTATCACAGATACATCTTATCCTGGGCATCGTTACTATTTTTTTTTTAAGTTTATTTTTAAGTACTCTCTATACCCAATGTGTGGCTTGAACTCACGACCCCAAGATCAAGAGTTGCATGCTCTTCTGACTGAGCCAGCCAGGCACACTGGTAGTTGGTAAACCAACTGAGAACAGATTAGGTATGATTTCAGGGGTGTTAGGTTCAGAAATATCTTCTCTGATTTGCTTTTTGTAAATGTCTGAAATTTTACCATTAGTTTGACTGTAAATTTGCAAATTGTGAATAAACCTGAGAAGGGAAATATATAAAGCCCATTAGCAGTTATTTATATCTTAGTGTAAATTGGTTAATTAGAAGCACGCTTGACCGGTAAGTAGCGCATGCTTTCATGGGAGGTCTAAAGTCAAAGGGACCCGGCGTGGGAATGGCCATCTGAGGACAAGGAGTACTGTTCAAGAGAGCAGGAGGTGCAGCTCTGCCACTTTCCAGCTTTGCCTAGAGGTGGTCCTGGCCTTGAAGCCTGTAGAAAGAGCCCCCCATTCCAGTTTGGTGGTGTTCCTGTCATCTGTCAGCTGGGTTCCCTTTGGCTGGCTGCAAACCTTGTGTAAGGTTGCTCAGGAGGTGCTTCCAGCTAACTCTGCTGCTTGTTTATTTTTAGGTATCTTGCAATATATTCAGAACTCTCCCTCCTAGTGACAGCAATGAATTTGATCCAGAAGAAGATGAACCTACCCTTGAGGCATCCTGGCCACACTTACAGGTACTTTGAACTACCATTTGTTATAAAAGAAAGCTCCATTAACTCATTAGCTGATTAGCATGGGAATTCCTTGAAGGCCTTTATTCACCCAGAAATCAAATTAGAGTATATTAACAGAAAGCTAGAGAATGCTCTCTGTGTTTCTTCTCTTGGTAATTAGGATGCCAAAAGAATAAAATAATAAGTTGCGGTGTAATGCTTTAGTGTGGTTCCTCCCAGGTTGTGGGTCCAGCCAGCAGTTCTTGCTTTTTGATTAGAGCTTCTATGTGATCTGCCTGCTGGAGCCTCCAACAGGAACTGAACTATTTTCACATTAATATTAGTTGGATGTGATTAGGTCATAGAGTTTATATCTCATTTTCATCAGCAGGTACCCTGGGGATTGAATGCCTGTCTTCATGATAGCCACAGATGTGTTTCTGCAGCCTGGAAGGGCAAAAACAAATTGCAAGAGTTATTTCATAGTGTTGTAAGGAAGAGCAACAGCTGATAGGAAAGCTTGTATGAAAGTCTGTTTTGTTCTCTTGCACTGGGAAGGCCATGTTTTCCAGTCATACGCATGTGCCGGGACAGATCAGGGCCATCCCTGTATCTCCTTTGCCAGCACCAGGCCCACCTGTACTCTATTTACTTACCCATACTGGTCATTTTCCATCTTCCCTTCCTGGCTGCTTGCGCTGCAGGCCAACATTTATCCAAGGAATAGAACAAGGAAATGTGAATGTCATGCTCCCCCAAGCTATCTTTCCATTGAGTTAGAATGTCCTCAGAGGCTGGATGACAACCAGCTAGGAGGGAAGGGGTGGTAGAGAGGGACTAAAACCTTGTACACTTTGAGCCAGAAGCAGAAGCCATTGCACCTTTTGAAGTGTGCTCACGACTACTCATTGACTTTTGAAAGAGCAGAAAACTGTATCTCAGAGAGACGAAGCCTAGAAGGTGTCTAGAAGTTTCTTTTTTCCCCACTTCAGAATTTTTGACATCGATTTGCAACTTTCCCTGTCCTGCTTTGGCAATTCAAGGTTGCTACAGATAGACATGTATGCTGTTTCCCCTAGTTATAGAGAGAGCTTTCTGGGCCTCTGTTTCCTCAGCTCTTACCCAGGCGTGTTATACATATGTATTCCTGCTGCCAATGCCAAGATTGAGTAAATTAGTTAAAATGCTGTGGCTGATTTCCTGTTTTAGCTGCTTGATTTTTTTTTTTTTTTTTTAAGGTGTCAGACATACTATCTGCAGCCTAAGAAATTTGGAAAATTATTTGTGCTTTTCATGGTGTATCCCAGATTGTGACAAAAATTAAAATAAAAAAAAATCATTCTTTTGAATAGGTGGATTTCTTGTCATGCCTTATTCCTAATGTTTGGCACCAGTTCATAAAGTGCAGTGTAGTCTGGAAGAAAAAAAAATTTTTTTTTTAAAGATTTCATTTATTTATTTGACAGAGAGAGACACAGTGAGAGAGGGAACACAAGCAGGGGGAGTGGGAGAGGGAGAAGCAGGCTTCCAGTGGAGCGGGGAACCTGATGCGGGACTCGATCCCAGGACCTGGGCTCATGACCTGAGCCAAAGGCAGACACTTAACAACTGAGCCACACAGGCGCCCCTAGTCTGGAAGAAATTTAAAAAACAAAACAAACAAGATAATCTCAGGAAAATCCCACATCTTATGGTGGAAAAGACAGGAAGAAAGCTGTCTTCAAAGCTTCAACTTATCTTCTCTACATCCCAGAGACAGTAGACTACTCTTGCCATTTGCAAGAGCTTTTTGAATGCTCTAAATCATGATCACCAGAGATATAAATTTCCTCTAAAGCACAGTAAAGTTGAACTGAGTATTTCAGTTAATCCTTCCTAAGCTTAATGACTCTGTAAAATACAGACCAAATTAATTTCTAAAGCTATGAAGCTAGATTCTGTCACCAAAAATCTCTAGCTTACACTGTGTCATTCCTACAGGAGCATTAACTGTTAGTTCACCTGAAACTCTAAAACCAAAGTGACAATGAGGAGCGATGATGAGACCTATACCCTTATGATGTAAAGTCCCACAAACTGTATTCTAAAACGGTCTCGCTTCATCTGTGTTGACACCCTGTTCAAGCCTATAATCCTCTGATCCCTGCTTTAGCTTAGGGGGAAATATGACTTAGACTGGATCAGGTAAAGGAAACCTACTTTTAAAATTCATAAATTAACCATTTGTAATAAAGGTCAAGTCAGTAGGCACACTGTTGCCTTCAACTATTCCTTTCTGGAGGTCTTTGTACTCAAGATTCCTGTGTTTCTCTTATGTATTCTAACTCTACAAATTGGTCACCTTTCCATTTTCACTGATAGGTGGTTTTAGTACTGACAAGAGCACTCACTGAGCATTCAGGAAATCTTAGCTGTTCATGACAGGTCATTCATGTTATAGTGAGTTATTACTAAATTTAACATTTTACTTTTTAATTGAGCCAACAATATTTTTCTGACCAAAACATAGCACCTTTTCACTTTTTATTAACTCCAACATTAACAGTGTGCTTCTTCTTCTGGATCACATTTTTATAAGGAAGCACAGTATTTATTACCAAATATCTGATAATAGTACATAACAACAAAATTGCATTGAGATGTGGTTATTGGGTGATGGGCTAGGCAATGAACCTAGCCAGTTGACTGTTTCTACATACCTCTTGTCTGATTTAAGTTTGTGGCCATACAAAACTACTCCTAACAAATCATGGATCTTTGGAGATATTTAAAAATAGAAAAAGGTTTGGGGTGCCTGGATGGCTCAGTCGGTTAAGCGTCTGACTCTTGATTTCCACTCAGGTCATCATCTCGGGGTCGTGAGATCGAGCCCTGAGCCCCGAATCTCGAGTCTCAGGCTCCCTGCTCAGCGGGAAGCCTGCTGGAGATTCTCTCTCTCCCTCTTCCCCTCCCCTTATTCTCTCTCTCAAATAAATAAATAAATCTTTAAGAAAAATAGTAAAAAGATTAAATCCACAAAATTTTAGTTTAAATATATCAGAGGTTCTACTGTATGTGTGTTATTTGATATTTTCTATTATCTGTATTGGTATCTTTTAAACTGTATTCCATAGTTACCATGGTTATTCTTTGTGTATTTTCTGTATTTGGGTCTGTAGTTCCAGTAGAATATGATTTTGCAGGACTTCATTTACAATCGGGATTCTTTTTAGTGCTTTACACTTGAGACTGAAAAACAGAAATGCTAAAGTCTTTTTAACTCAAGTTCCTTGGAGAGTTCACTTATGTGATCTTGAAAAGTAAATTCTTCTCTCAGTCCTCAGTCTTTCTTTCCCTTTAGAAATTCAAGGGAGATTTTTGATTCTGAGGTAAAAATCTGTCTGGTAGAACATTTATACTTATTAATAAATGTGTCTAAAGTGTTTCCACCAAACTGTTTTAAACTGTAACTGCTTTCAAGGGACCAGAGGGAAGAGAGCACTTTGCCAGTCCTGCAAGAAAGCCCTGCCAGCTCAAAAGACAGGCCTGCAAGATGAGAATCTCTCCACTTTGTGGGAATTAAGCCCCCTTTTATGGGTTGTTTGAATAAGGCTGACATTCTATTTGTAAAAGAAAGAGTTTTGAAAAATTAGTGTATTGAAAATACAATTTCTCTGGAGGGTGTTGGGGGCTCAGTCATGTAATCATGCCTAGAAGTACAGCTTGACAATGTTCAGATCATTGGGCAAGAAGTTTCTCTGAATTAAGAGTTTCAAAGAGAAAAATGGTTTTTTACTGAAGTAAACTCCTAATGTGAATACCTATGTGTTAAGTTACAGTCCGAAGTCGTAAGGTTACTGTATGATGCATTTAGGTTAGTGGTAACACAGACCCTTGGGGGACCCTGATTTTCAGGCCTGCAAAATCAGAACAGTTTTATAATAATACTATGCTGTTGGCTGGTTTCACTGTGTTGACATTGGAACGGATGGTTGTAAAAACATTGGTGGTTGAAATTGCTGCTGCTTTAGCACAGATCAAGACGGTTGTGGCAAATTGGCTTTGTGATCATATGTTCTACTGCCAAGCGCTGACCAAAAAAAAAAAAAAAAAAGCCAATTTCAAATAAAAGTGTTCTTGGAAAAGCAGCAAAAATTATGAAATTAAATATTATTAAATCTTGACCTTTGAGTACACATTTAAAAAAATATTTTTCGTGACAAAGAGGGAAATGGAAGTATGCACAAAGCCCAGTGACTACATACTGAAGTATACTGATTTGTCTTATGCTAAAGCAATTATGTGATTGTTTGAGCTACAAGCTGAACTAGCTGGTTTTTCATGAAATACCATTTCTACTGGAAGGAATGTCTGGCAAACTGTACTTCCATCTTGTGTATTTGGTGGATGTTTTCTTAAAAATAGACAAAGAAAACAATTGTTGCCACTGATAAAATTAGAGCATTCAAGCAAAATTTAGAATTAGAATTTTGGGAAACTTTTATCTTTCTGCTCTCACCTTGAACTTTATCGCATATCAAAACTTAGACTTTTTGATAAAATTGGAGATATTAAGGAATAGGACTTTTGATACTGTATAATAAAACTTGTGAGCATTTGAAAAATCTGCATAACTCGGTGAACCAGTATTTTCCAGTTGGTCAGTGAATGATGTTAGGAAACCATGCGTAGGTAAAAATCCATTCAAAGTGCAAGACAGACGATTGGAATTTAGTATAACAGAGTATGAAAAATTCATTGATTTTGGCTTCAGATTCTGCATTGCAACTCCAGTTTAAGAAACTCAAGTTTTGGTGTAGTATCAAAGAAGAATTTCCATAATTATGTGAAAAGACTATGAAAATGCTCATCCTTTTTCATACTCTTAGATCCTCACGGGGCTTGATTTCTTTATATACTCCAACCAAAACAGTGTATCACAACTGGTTGAATACGGAAGCAGTTTTCTAATATTCAATTAAAGAGATTTTTCACAAATAAAAAAATAATGCTTCTCAGAATGTGTAATATATTTTATTGCTTTAAAATGAAATAACAAATATGTATTTTAAATTTTCTGTTTGTATTTCTGACTTTACATATATAAGTATATGTATTTTCATATATATATATATCATATAAGCAAAAGCTTTGGAGTCTTCAACCATTTTTAAATGCAAAGGAGCAAGACTGAAAAGTTTGAGGATCCTGTTTTAGGCAATAGTGATAATGGTAATATGTGTTAGTCTGCTATGCCTAGCGCTTTATATATATTATCACATTTAATCTTAGGGATTATCATCCGCATTATTTAGTTGAAGAAACAGACTTTTAGAGAAATGAACTTGCCTAGGGTTACACAGTTAGTAAGGGACAGAGCTGGACTTCCAACCCGGTGCCTGTCTGTCTCTGTTAAAAGTTCTGTTTTTTATATACTGTTGTATACTCTAACAGGATCTAATGTATACTTTAACATAGATTTATTTTGCAAAGAGCATAAACAATGATCTTCTACTGTTTATCAGAACAGTTATTTGAGATTGACTCTACAGATGAGGATATTTTTATTCCTTGCAGATGAGAGTATTCTGCTAAACTATCATATATTGCTTAGAGGAGTGTAAATTGCATAAATTTTCTGGAAGGAAATTTAGCAGTGAGTGTTGAAAATCCTGAAATGTTTGGATATGTTTTGCTCTAACAATTCCACTTGTAGAAATATTTCCTCATGAAATAATCGAGCAAATGCACCCTGATGTATATTACATAATATACATTGTGGCATAATTTGATAGAGAAGTAATTCAGAAACTAGATGTCCAAGCATAGGAGATTGGTTAAATTGATTATGAATAATGGAATTATTCATTATAAATCATGTATAATGGACTACTTGTAGCTACTAAGAATGATGGCTTAGATATTATTGATATAAATTGTATACAATATATTGTTTAGATGGTAAAAGCAGTTTGAAAACTATATAAAAATGTATTTATAGTTCATTGATATGTTGTAGAAATATAGAGAAAAATCAAGAGGTTTATACATTAAATTGTTGGCAGTGGTTATCTCTAAATGGTGAGGCTATGGGGGATTTTTATTTGCTTTGTTTGGCTGTTATTTTCAGATTTTTAATTTAAAAAGTTAAAAAACATAATAGCAACCATGTGCCACAAGAAGGGCTAGCATAGCTTGTAAATGATATTAAAACTCAATTTTCTAAGCTCTGTCAGTTTTAGTGTTACAGGCTTTTTATGGTTTTTGATAAGTGAATTATAATTTGAAATTAACTATAATCTGTTTGTTGCAGCTTGTATATGAATTTTTCATACGATTTTTGGAAAGCCAAGAATTCCAACCCAGCATTGCCAAAAAATACATAGATCAGAAATTTGTATTACAGGTAAGCAAAGTTTTATGGTTGCATGCATTCGTTATTCAGCTGATAACACTTTACCTTATAATCTCTTGATTGTATAAAAATCTTTCACAGTGGCAGTTATATCACCTTTTAAGCAAATACTGCATATATAAGTTAGTTTCCATTATTGCCTGTTAAAAGTAATAGGTACCTCTTTAATTTATTGTTTAGTTTATCGCTGGAAATTAATTTCGTTTCAAACAACAGGAATGCTAATGCCTAAATCCCTGCAGTTTTCTTTCTTAAAATTTAATTATAAAGGAATTTCATTTATAGGACCTCTACTTGGTGTGAATCTTTGTGTAGCTTGAAAACTCCTATTTGCGTAAGGATTCTTAAGGAACTATTATTGCACAGATCTGTTAAAACTGAAAAAGCATGGTCTAGAGCATAAATAACCTTCAACAAATAATCAAAGTCAGATACTGATGAGCTTTCACAGCTAGGAAACACCTTAAAATTCCTGCAAAGTGATTAACTCTCACCTATCTGTTTGGAGCTTCTCAGGGTGTGTATTCTTGATTTGCCATTTTACATTTTGTAACTGTAGACCACATCTTCCTTTTTACCTGGGACTTGGGAATGTTCATGACATTGAATTTTTAGGTAACATCTTCGTGCTCTTGTTGTTGACATTCATCTATAAAAATGGGTACTTGAGCCAACTGGTGTATGAACTATTGTAGCTCCTTTCTAAGTGATTAATGAGCACCTCATGTCGAAGAGAATAAATATCTATCTCCTAGTGAGCCCAGTAAGCAGAACTTCAAATTTAAAACATTATTTTGGCAGGAAGTTGATTCTCCTATACCTTACCTGGATAAAGGTTGATAGCCTTTGTGATGACTCATTTCCCCTCCTTAATTCAATTAATAAGTTTAGAATTTTGGATATATTAGGTAGAGAGGCTTTGGAAAAGTGAGGTTTTAGAAAAGAGGCTTTGGAAAAAGAGAGGTAGATAAATAGGGGGTTACATGGAGCATTGGGTAAATAGGTCGACTGATTCAGATTCTTATACCAAGGAGGCAAAATGCATTTCAGATAGAAAGGCAACATGTGACAGGTCCGTGTTTTGTATTGGAAAGTCCTTGCATTTATATAGCACTGTATAATTGTTAGAGCATCTTTACATGCATTATTTAATTTGTACCATAATCTAAAACAGACGTGGCTAAATTTGAGGCCCATTTTATAGGTGAACAAACTGAGGTCTAGAAACTTTGTCAAGTTTTCCCAAGCACATTTCCTATTCTGATTTTCTGTCCATTATGTCATGATGCCTCCTTGTGATTCCCCTCACTATAAACTTGGAATGACTTCAAGGCAGGAATAGCCCTCACTTCTCAACACTAATGAAATACTAAGGTTCCCTTATATTTATGGTAAATTAAAATACCCAAGAGGATCAGATAGTGAAGCCTATGTTTAGTTTACATGGAAACAATAAGAACTGGGATCTCACGATGAAGCGTTTTTGTTTTTTTTTTTACATGAAAAGCATGCAAGGCCCATCTCACTGTGTTGTTCGTGGTAGATGGGTACTGATGATAATAAAGCTCATAAGATTAAAACATCGGAGAAACCCAGACTTGAAAGGGATGTTTTGGGTTGTCTGTTCTAGTTCTTTACCCAGTGAGTTAGTCTCCTTTGAGACCCAAGAAGGAGTGACTCCCATTTATTCTTTTTTTAGTGAGGAAGGACCATATACCTGGGCAGATTGTTCTGGTTTTGTTAGAAAGTTCTTTATGTTGAACCTCCCTATACCTTGTAGCCTTTCGCCTTATCTCCCCAGACTAAGTCCTTTAGTATTCACTAGCTCGGACATAACTTTTAGGTCTTAGAACACAGCGCTTGTGTTACCTCTTGGCTCTTTTTCCTAGGAACAGGAGTAGCAGCTCAAATGCTTGTAGGCTCATTTATGACAAGTTGGTGACCAGGTGTCAGACACTAGGAGGTAGACAGGTTTCTATTAAAGGGAGCTTTGGCTGCCCCTCTTCTTTCAGTTATTGTTAGACTTTTTTTTCCCCTTAAGAGAAACAAATCCAGATTTTCATGTGAAATGTTCTGATGAACCAAACTGATTTGCCTTCTGGATCTAGCTTAGCAGCTGTCAGTGTGCATTCTCTGCTCTAGACTGCGTCCTTACTTCTCTCAATCCTGTCTCATTTGTCCGTTTTGAAAGTCTTCAACGTGTGTCCATTTGTCTTTAAAAATGATGTCTGTGTCTGAACATAGTGCCCTGAGCCTGGTCGGTCCAGCACAGCCTAGAATTGGGTTCCCCATTCCCTTGTGTGGGTCTCTTAAAAGGGAAGTCTCATTAACCATTCTTGCTTCTCTGTGGCACTATTAACTTGTGTTAAGTTTGTGGCCTTTAACTGATTTCTAATTTAGCTTTGTGCATGACGTTGTAAAGCCGTGTTTTCCTTTGTTTTTGTTCATTGTACAGTTTGCCTTTTAGTCTAAGTATAGGCTTTGACATATATTCCTGCAGAATATAATTTCTTTCCAGCCCTTTGAAGTCTCTCTGGATCTTGAGTCAGTCATCCACAGTATTCATTGTGCCTCCCGTCTTTATCACATCTGTGACTTTCTTTCTTTCTTTCTTTTTTTTAAAGATTTTCTTTATTTGAGAGAGAGAATGAGATAGAGAGAGAGCATGAGACGGGGGAGGGTCAGAGGGAGAAGCAGACTCCCTGCTGAGCAGGGAGCCCTGATGCGGGACTCGATCCTGGGACTCCGGATCATGACCTGAGCTGAAGGCAGTCGCTTAGCCAACTGAGCCACCCAGATGCCCCACATCTGTGACTTTCTTAACTGCGCTGGTAGCTCTCGGCTTCGTCTCAGATCGTTGATTAAAATTGTTAGAATAGCCAGCACTGGTGACAGAGGACTTTGGCATGTCTTTAGCAACTTTCCTCTGTTTCAGCACAGGTTCATTAATCAGCAGTCTTTGGATTCCATCCTTGAAGCTGTTAGAAATTTACTCTAGAATAGCATCATCCTTCTTACATTTTAAAATTTTGTTCAGGGTGCCTGGGTGGCGCAGTCAGTTGAGTGTCTGACTCTTTGGTTTCTGCTCAGGTTGCGATCTCAGGGTTGTGAGATTGAGCCCTGAGTTGGGCTCCGTGCTCAGCGCGGAGTCTGCTTGGACTCTCTCTTCCTCTCCCTCTGCTCCCCACCCCTAATAAATAAATAAGTCCTTTAAAAAAAGGCTTAAAATTTTTTTTGTTGTTGTTCATAAGGAGAGTATAGACTCTTGTCAGATGCTATGGTAGAAGCCAGCACTTTGTCTTTACAGCATCCCCTCATCTATGGGCCTTGGGACTTTATCATAAAAAGGAATGCTGTTCGTCTGCCTTGGGACATTAATGAACTTCTGGGGGCTACTGTTATTTATTGGTACTGTTTCCCCAAGTACTTGCAATCCATGTGATTGATCATCTGCCTCCGAGTTTCGCCAGAGACAAGAAACCAAGTTTACATAGTGAGTCCGTCTACTTATACTTTATGTTTTCAGCCCTTGCCTCATTTTTACAACCTTTGCATCTTTTACCTTCCCTCTGCTGGGTCTGTTGATGAACTTAACCTTCACACCAGGGCTCCCAGCAGTTCCTGAATCAGTCAGGAAAGGGACAGGCAGGGTATTGGCAAAACCAGTAACACCACTGGGTGGTACTTGAATGTAATATTTGACTAACCAGAGCATTATCTATCATGTTGGGGATAAACCCTGGGTGCCGATTAGCTGCCATTTTCCAGAATACCCTGTTCATTTATGTTGGTAACCTATAAAGTTGGTCTCCTGCCCCTTTTCCTACCCTTTAGTCTACTGATGAGGTACCTAAGATCCCCTTCTAGGAGTGGGGTCTCAATCCCCTAGGTAATTTTCCTGAGCTCCCTTCCTGGGAGATTTGTTTCCAACTTGGGACCTGCTTGGCCTTTTGGAGCTTAAGGCATTGTTGCTGAGATTCCGTCCTGCCCCTCCCCCCCCCTTTTCCTCCTGCCACTGCACCTTACCCGTCCCTGAGCTGGCAGCCCCTTCATCTGTGTACCCTGTAGTCAGCGCGTTCATTATTTATACCCCCACTTTCCCCCTGCTTGTCTCTCTCCGCACAGCCTCCTGTGATGCCATCTAGTCCTGGCGTGCTTTGTACTTCAGTCTGGTTTTCTTGTGACGTGGGAGTCCCCATACCTTCCCCTCTTGCAAATCGGGATGACACTGACCGCATTCTTTTCCTTTGAGCAGATTCTTTATTCTCTGTGGATTCTCAAAAGGAATTTTGGTGATCTCAAACTTAAAACTTTTTTATTTAGTTAGATATAATTTATTCTAGCCACGAGATTTAAACCTTATTTTCTATAGCAGCTATAGCTGTATTTCTTACAGTCTGTTCTGACTCTCATGTCTCCTGTCAGTAAAGACAAAAGCAAAATAAGAATCGAGTTATTTCAACATGATGTAGTGGAAAGAAAGTTAACAAGCTGTGGATTTGCATCCTGACTCCTCTGTGTACTCTAAGTAGTATATATTACAGGAGCTAAGAATATGTGCTGTGGGGTAAGAAGGAACTGCATTAAAACCCTGGCTTTTCCACCTACTTGGCAATGTGGCTTTCAGCCAATTAATATACTCGCTGTCCGAGCTTGAGTCTCCTCATTTGCAACATGAGGAACAGGAAAATAGGATGTACCCCCAAACTGACCGTTGTTAAATCTGCTTAATTGAGTTGGCACTATGGATACAAAGACAGGCTCCCTCCCTTCACTTGTAAATAAGTACTTGAAAACTTGGGCAGATTTTTGACTATTCTGAGCCTCAGTGTTTTCTTCGGTACAATGGCTATAATGGTGACCTCTCTTACAAGTTACAACAAGTGGGCTTGTTGTGATGATAAAATGACATGACTTGTAAAAATGTCTGCTGGTATCATGCATGGATTATAATAGTTGCTCATTAAATACTAATTCCTTTTTTTATACAC